TTTGGGCCTTGAAGCTCTTGCGCAACCCTCCCTAGCTTTGCCCTTATTTTTGCCTTTTGGCACGTGGGCTTCCCTATATAGCCACAAAAAGGGGCCTGCTTTCTTCCAAGGCTATCTCTGAGTAAACGCGCCTACGCCTCTAAATCCATACCGTCCTAAACACTAAAGCTTGAACCTTAAACCTTCAACCCTAACCCTAAGCCCTAAACCTTCTACCCCAGGTATGGAAGCCTCGATGACTTTACGGCCTTTGTGCGGGGACCGCTAAAGGAAGAGCTAATGGAAGCTTTGTTGCTGACTGGTGTGCCGGTGCAGTATCTCGGTGGGGCTTTAGAGGGCTTAGAGTTTGAGTGTATGGCACCGTGGCGGCATGTGTTATTCTCGAGGTTTTCCAGCACAAAATGCACACCGCCAGGGCTACGTATATACTGTAGACTTTAGGGTTGAAGGCGCCAAGTTGGTATCAGGTTTGGAGGATTTTCCTGGGTTAGCATGGTACGCGGTGAGTTTCCCAAGACTAGTCTAGGCAGCCCTAGACCCCAAGCCTCCGAAACCTGGTGTAGGGTTTACCGGTTTGTCTTTTTTGCTTGACGAAGCAAAAAGCTTATGTACAGTCCGAACAGCAAGCCAGGTATTGTGTACTGTCAGTCAGCCCTTTCCTCGCACAGCAGTTGGATTATCTGGCGGGGCTTCTGAATCAGGGAGCGCCACATGATGTTGTTGCAAGGTTTGTTTTTGGGCAGATGTTGGCTGTCAACATGTTGGCGGTCTGCACACTGTATTTTGCATTCTGGCTGGCCAAGCAATTTGCCAAGCCGCGCTTTGAAAGCTGGGCTCTGGACTACGTGCAGACGCTCTTGATTCTGGTGCTTTGGGTGTGCCTGTGCCCATGTCGGGATGATTTGTTGATTTTGCATGTGTAACAAAAACCGGTTTAGGGGTTTAGGATTTGGGGGCTTAGTCTAGAAACTCAAGGAAAAATTCCCTGCTGCTGCAGCACAACTCACTAATTAGAACCTACCCCACACCCTCACCCTAAACCGAAACCCCCTACCCCGTGTTTAGCGGATGCTGCTTCCTTTGCAGTCTCCACGTGGCAGGCTCTGCATCGCTCCAAGTGGCTTCCTGGTTGTCCGAATCTATCAAGGAAGCTGGGAGGGTTTCGGGTTTAGAGCTTAGGGTTTAGGGCTGAAGGTATAGGGCCAGGGTAAATTAAAGCGACCTCGCCGGACCCCCTTCATTCGGGAATATTTTTGCAATCTTATCAGGATTCTTAGTATAATTTGGGGTATATGCTCCTGCGCTCTGCGTCCCCGCCCACCCCCTTCACCCAAAATCCGCATCCTCAGCAAATAGGGGGGCGACCTTCCCACCCCGCCCAGCCACCCTCTCTCTCTCTCTCCCTCCCTCTCTCTGTGCCTCGTTCCGTTATTCTATTCCATGGAATCCTTGGAAACCACTTTTGTAGGTTTTGCTCTCTCACTCTCTCTCTCTCTCTCTCACTCTCTCTCCATCTTTCTCTCCCTCTTTCTCTTCTATTCCCATATAGAATTCAATAGAATTTCTCCTGTAATTCCTTTTAAATTCCTCTATGCACCATTCCTTGCACAACTCCTAAGATGATTTCCTATTACGCTCACTAGCCGCTAGCTCAACCCCAACCACACCACAGGACAGGAGGGGGACCATACCATGGGGGGGTTGGGGGAGGGGGCGAGCCAATATTCCATAATTAAGGGGTTTAAGAAGCCTGGGGTGAAATATGTTCTTTGCCCTTAATAGCCCTTACGATCTGAACTCTCTAGAACCCGCTTTAAGGAGTTTAGACTATGGCTCAGTCCGTTAAGCCCCTGAACCCTAAACCCTGAGGAAGCCTGGTGGGAGCACTTGCAATTGCAGCCGTCGCAGCAATCATTCTGATAGTCACTGGGTTCTTGTAAAGGCTTTAGCCAGAGTGACGTTATACTTATACACCTAAAGAGCTTAAAAATACTAAAATATTCGGCACAACTCCCATTTTTCTGTGTACATAGGTTACTGTAGGGAGTGTTTAAATTTTACTAGGTTCTTGTTGAGGAACAGTTTACATGTATATGTAGATTTAGGCCCGATCTAGATTTCCATGCCCTTTATGAATGGTACAAGTACCTCACCAAAGCCTTTAAACCAAAAACACCCTAAACCCAAACCCTAAACCCTAAACTAAACCCAAACCCTAAACTAAACCCAAGACCCAAACCCTAAGGCCACCTTTGCCGGCTTCTTTTCTGCCGCGAGGAAGATCATGGGTTTTTCGAGGTAGAGGCATGCCTGAACCGTGGGTTAAGCTTTTAGGGGCTTAGGGTTAAGCCCCTAAACCCTAAACCCTAAACCCTGAATCCTACTAAGAGGCATGCCTGAAATTCCTTTAAGAGGTCCGAAGGCTCCAAGAGGAGTCCAAAAGTTTAGCTCACGAACCAAGGCTTCGAACAACCCGTCGTTAAGGAACATGCCTTAAATCTTACTCGGATTCTTAGCATATGTTGGTGTATATTGGTTACGTAATGAAGGGGTTTTGGAAGCCCTGGGAACAAGAACGTAGTGTTTGTCAGAGCCAGAATGTCCGTATGAGCCATCGTTGCAACTTCTGAAAAGGTCATATATAGGGGATCATGTAGGGTTCCGAGAAACCCTATAGGCCTTATTCACGGGATGTAAGGACTTAAGAGGATAGCTCATATGACGGCGACGACATGACCTCCTGCTCCACATCCTGCAACTGTTTATCTGCTCGAAAAGCCATTCGTATACCTATAACTCCGACTGTATATGCCTATAGAGTCCTTTTCTTCAACCCGTAGAATACCCTGTACACTGCAAAGGTTT